TACTTAATTTTTTTAGCTTTATTGAGGTATAAGTAACAAATTGTAATCCATTTAAAGTGACAACATAATGAACTGCTGTATGTTTTGAAAGGTTTCCCACCACCTCACGTATTCACCTTTTTTTTGTTTGTTTGTTTTGATGAGAACACTTCAGTTCTACTCTTAGGATTTCAGTGATACAAAACAATATAATCAACTATAGTCACCATGTTTTATATTAGATTCCCCAGACCTAATTTATCTTTTACTGTAAGTTTGTGCCCTTTTAACAACCTCTATTATTTCCCACAACACCCAGCCCCTGGCAGTCACCATTCCACTGTTCCTGAGTTTGATGGTTTTGTTAAAGATTTCACATATAAATGATACCATGCAATGTATGTTTTTCTTTAAGGTGAAATACTTGAACTTTCAGGAATACAGATTACTCTTAAGCATACAATTTTAAGATTCTATTTAAAATTTACACTATATAAACAGCGAGTTTGTTTCAATATAACGTAACTTTTTTTTAAATTTTATTTTTTATATTCCCCATACAATTACAACCCCCTTATTTTGACCCCAAGCCCTCCTTTCCCCACCCCCACCCCCCATAGAGTGTCTCTGGTTCATAGTTGTTTGTTGATTTTGATTTTTTCTTTCTTATAGTTATTCTTTTTCCTGGTCCCTTATTTAAGTTTTCTAGATTCCTGCTATGAGTGAGACCATCCGGTATTTTTCATTTTCTTTCTGGCTTATTTCGCTGAGCAGGATCCCTTCCAGCTCCATCCATGTTGCTGCAAATGGCATGTGTTTATCTTTTTTGAATGCTGAGTAATATTCCATGCTGTATATGTACACATCTTCTTGATCCAGTCATCTATTTTTGGGCATTTGGGTTGTTTCCAAAGCTTAGCTATTGTAAACAGTGCTGCTATAAACATAGGGGTGCAGGTGCTCTTTGGAATGGATGTTTCTTTGTCCTTTGGGTAAATACCTAGGAATGGAATTGCTGGATCATATGGAAGCTCTATCTTTAGTAGGTCCAGAAATCTCCACACAGCTGTCCATAGTGGTTGGACCAGTTTGCACTCCCACCAGCAGTGCAGGAGAGTTCCTTTTTCTCCACAACCTCGCCAGCATTTGTTGTTGCTAGTTTTTTTAATATGTGCCATTCTCACTGGTGTGAGATGGTATCTCATGGTAGTTTTGATTTGCATTTTCCTGATGACAAGTGATGTTGAACATTTTTTCATATGCCTGTTGGCCATTTGCATTTCCTCTTCAGAGAAGTTTCTTTTTAGCTCTTCTGCCCATTTTTTGATGGGATTATTTTCTTTGTTTTTGTTGCATTTCATCAGCTCTTTGTAGATTTTTGTGATCAGTCCTTTATCATTAGTTTTGTGTGCAAAAATATTCTCCCAGTCGGTGGGGTTTCTCTTTGTTTTTGTTATTGTCTCTTTTGCTGTGCAGAAGCTCTTTAATTTGATGTAGTCCCAGCTGTTGATCTTTGCCTTCACTATCACTGCTTTGGGTGATGTGTCTGCAAAGATGTCTTTGATGTGCATATCATGTAGTGTTTCACCTTCAATATAGTGTAACTTTTGAGGTTAAACATTTCCTTTTCTGTAGAAAAACTGAGCCAAATGGTAATTGTTTGGGTGGAAAGTCTTTATAAGAACCTGCATCTTATTGAGATTAATTACATATACTCTTATTATACATATTTATTTGTATTATGATAGTCACTATATAATTAACACCAGAAATTAGCCAATAGATTACTTAGGGATAATTAGTTTAAAGTGATCTTTATCAAGATTTTCTGCAGCATTAATATGTATTTTCAGGAGAGTGAGTTTTTATTTTATGCCTTTGTCCCTTCTCCCTCTACTGTAGCACATAAAAATGGGGACCAAGTACTGCACTGGTGCTTCATATCATACTGTGAATTTGTGCAGGTTATACATGTGATGTCCAGTGCTAATATTGTGGCTGTAGAAAGATACATTAGGACACTTGACAGTTTGACCATGAAAAGTAATTTCTTTTGGTCTAGCATTGTTGAGGCTAGGCTTCTGTAGGTGCCACTGGTGTATGAGAATTGCTTTACAAGCTGCTTGGAGAATTAGTTTCTATATCTGAGGCGTTCAGTTTACTTCCTTGTTCTGTTTATTGTCAGAGTGACAAGTAGAACAATATTGCCTTCATGATAGGGATAATTTTTTTTATATTTCGTGAACAGAATTATCTTTCATCTAAACTACATGTAGAGATTAAAATCCAGACATGTTTTCAAAATAATGTCTTTGAAAATGGAGGGGGCGTGAAAGGGACAGGTTAAAATGCTCATTTTATGTATACAACTGGTACAATGTAATGTACTAATTTTGGTGGGTTTTTTTTTTATTATAGCAGTTGATTTGACACCAGTAGGAATGACTCTGAACTCTTTATTATTTTACTCCTGATTTGATTTTCTGAGGACAAATGACAAAAACAAATTCTAATAAAAGAGGTTAGAAATACTCAAGTGACAGGAGTATACCTGAGTATTGGGGAATGAGACCCCCCATTGAGAAATGGAATGAGATCCAGAGTCCCCACTGGTGACACACCGACGTATCAAAACGCTCCCTTTCCTGTTCTATTATATACATACACCAATAGTAGCAAGACTTGCATAATACTGTGGTCTGTCCTTGGTTCAAGCGTAGCATCCCAGACTGCTAGAGATCATTGGCTAGGGGTTTTCAGACTCCTGAAATGTAAAATGATGGACAAAAGTTCTTTTTTTATATTGGAATCGTGGTGCTAGCAACTGAAAAAACCAAAAGTAGGTAGGTAGACGTTTGTGTTCTTACTATTTATATTGCTTGGTTTTAGACTTCATTTTTGAGGTACATGTTCCATATTATCTTCATTAGAAAAATCATAGATGTGAATATGAGACTACTCTAGCATGAGACTAGAGTAATAGCTTTCCTAAGTAATCATTTTAAGGTTTTCTTGTAGTTGTATTTCTTCTACAGGGAATACACTCTTGCCCCCCTCCCATTATGCCCTCCCCCCAAGTTTTGTAGCAGATTGTTAGAATGCATAGAAACTGAACATGATGAAAAAAAATCACTTGGTGATATATATAGTTGCTCTGTTATCTAACATTAACTGTAAACACTGGGTGTTTAACCCTGCTATTGTGCAAAATCACCTCTTTTGGTCATCAGCTACCTCTATTCTCTCCTGTACAGAAGAGAGACAAAAGCACATGACAGTAAGTACATGCTCTTAGTCTCTGTGATCTGCTTCAGTGGTAGTTTGGATATATTATATTCAAGTGCATTGTTAATATATTTGGTATTTCATCATTTCCTGCACAGTTCAGATATTTTATCTCGAAATTCTTGCTTAGGTCATCATAACAGATTCAAATTATTGCTCTGCTGAAATTGGTTTGTGAGTACAGTGCACGGATGGTAACTTATTACAGGGGTTTTTTTTTAGCCAAGATGTTAAATGTTTGAACTTTTTTTAAGATTTATTTATGCATACAAGAACGGGGGTACAGGCCAGAGGTGTGGGGGGTGAGAGGATTCACCAGAGACAGAGTGTGGAGCAGAACAGGCAGATTGACCAAAGTACACTACTGAGGGGAGCAGCGGGCGAGTCAGGAGAGGTCTGCTGTGCCATCTGGGTAGCTCCCTGGCCGACAATCAAACTCATGCTTCAGAGGCTGAGGACATCTTCATAGGTTGCATCTTAACTGGTTGCATCACCAGGGAGGCCCTGAACTTGTTTTTAATTCTATTTGCTACTCACCTTATTTTATGGCTTGAGAAGACTCTTAGCCAGGTTTTACTAGTCTCCATAAAATTCTTTGAAACTCTTCATCTCCAAAACAAATCCATATAAACAAAGGCAATTGAATATTTAATGAGATCCCCAAGATGAGGTTATCAGTTGTGATTATATAATACCATGTGCAAGATAGAGATTTGGTGAAAATTTTTGTTTTATATTAAATACCTGCATGTTTGTATGTGTTCATTTGTTCCATGCCCAGAAGTGGAACAAAAGATAAAGTTGAAGTGTTGAAGTGTTGCTGTATTTCATTTCTGGATAGACTGGAAGCATTCTAATATTGTGGTTAAAGCTGACATAGATTAGGTTTGTAAAAATGTGATGTAGCTTTTGAAAAATAATTTTTTTATGAAGACAAAATCAGCCATTGCAGGATTCTTTCAGCTGGAAAAAGTCTTGATTCCAAGGGATACCAGTTCAGCTAGCAGCCACAAACCTATTGCTGAGCCGATTGTGACCAGGATGCGATGGGCAAAACTCAGCATCAGTTTAGCAGATAAACCACTTATTACAAGAGACCACTGATCTGCCTTTTTACAGTATCAGATTCAAAACAGGAAACACCATACCTTTGTCCTTCATATTGTTCTCGTGTGGACTTGTGAATAAGCCTCTTAATGTCACATTTTACCTTTTACAGTGATTTGTCTAGTTTCATATAACTTCATTTGGATTTTAAGTGATGAATGAGCTTTTAGTGTGCAGAATGCAACAGCTTGGTTTGCTGTTTGTCTCAGGGGACATCATCTGTACCAGCAGCTGCCACTCTGTCTGCAGTAACATCTGGGGATCTGGATCTCTTCACTGAGCCAACTACAAAGTCAGAAGAGGTGGCAAGGAAACAACTCTCCAAAGACTCCATCTTATCTCTCTATGGTACAGGAACCATGCAGCAGCAGAGTACTCCTGGTAATTCATTTTAAAATCTGCTTGCAGTGAATTGCTGTACCGTTGCTAGAAATTTATCACATCAATTACATTATCTTCCCTATTTTTCTGTGTAATGGTGATTACAGTTAACACAACTATATAACTGAAATGAATGAAAAATTAGAATTAAAAAGCATGTACAGGATTCACCAAACTTTATTGGAATTAACAAGTTGTTTACATATCACTTAATATTTTACAAGCTTATCAGACATAAATTATGTGTTTGAAGAATAATTTAAATTTGATTCGCATGAAATTTATAACTGTACTTGCAGAGAAAATGCCACACTGTAAAACAATCAGCAGTCTGAATTATCACATGTATTCCCAAAAAGCTTAGGTTTTTTAAAAAATGAAATTGCATGATATTTGTTTACATAGTTTCAGTAGGTCAGATAATTTCCTCAAAGAAAACGAGCTGCATTTCACAGGTGAGTTAAAATTGAGACCTCAGATGCTTCCATTGAAGCCAAATACAGCAGACAACTCTCTCTCACACACTGGACAGTGGGCGGCTAATGATGCAAGTCAGCAGCAACAGCATATACTCTCCTGCTGTGTAGTCGCGTCTTCATAATAGATGTCATGCAGCGCTACTGCCTATTTATTCTAGTTAAACTGGGTTGGGTTAGTAACTGATCTGTCTGCATTCTGAAGGTATAGGTGTGAGTCTGAGCAGTAGGAGCATCCAGACTGGAGTTAAGATTTTTTGCACTGTTGATAGGTCAGAAAGATGCTAATCCTTTTTCTGTGATTATCAAAATGAGTGCAGCTGTATATCATACCCCTGTTTTCTTTTCATGGTTCTTATGGCAGGTGTGTTTATGGGACCCACAAATATACCATTTACCTCACAAGCACCAACTGCATTTCAAGGATTTCCAGCAATGGGCGTACCTGTGCCTGCAGCGCCTGGCCTTATGGGAAATGTGATGGGACAGAGTGCAAGCATGATGGTGGGCATGCCCATGCCCAATGGGTTTATGGGAAATGCACAAACTGGTGTGATGCCACTTCCTCAAAATGTTGTTGGTCCTCAAGGAGGTATGGTGGGACAGATTGGTGCACCCCAGAATAAGTTTGGCCTGCCACAAGCTCAACAGCCTCAGTGGAGCCTCGCTCAGGTAGGTCTTTACTCTCCAACTTCTCCAAAATCAAAGAAACCAGATTTTTTTTCTGAAGGCAAAACTATCTTTGTCAAATAGACAAATGAACTCTTAATGGCGACCATCTCTAATCTCTTTGTAACAGCTAGAACCTCTTGAGAGACTCCTGCCACCTTTGAAATTAGCACTAAGTTTTAACCTAGCTCCCCAGTGTTCTGTTTTTATTGTCCACTGAGACCAGCCTATCTTTATTAACCTAGTAATTAGGGAGTATTTAGTAACTTCTGCAATTTAGCCTCAAAACACTATTCAGATTAGTTCCTACTGCACATGGATGTGTAAAAATCTTTGTAAGGATTTATCTACAATTAAGCTTAGGTTTAAAAAGAATACCTAAGATTTGAACAGGTCTGTATTTGTCTTAGAGAGCCCCTCATAAATCCTATTTTATCTCAGTTTAGAGGCAAGAAATGGCATTTTAGTATTACTGCTTTCAAGTCAATTTCTGTTGTAGGTTGATCCATTCTAACTTCTCTCTGGCTCCCCACACAAAGGCCCTGAGCATTAGGCTCACGTTCCCAAGCTGTCGCCTCCTTTCTATTTGGTGTTAATCTAGAATTTTGGTGAACTTGGCATTTCTTCTGACCAACTGTTTTTACCTTACACCTTGAGGTATGGAGGGAACACCCTCTTGTGATTTCCAAGTTACTTTTATGATCGTCATTGAAGGAATATCTATGACATGGGTATCAACTCTCTGGGAGTGTCAGAATTACTTGAGTACCTACCAGATGTCAGTAATAGCCAAAATGCTGAAGTATGCTCAGGTTAAGGTACTAGATGAACCTGTTAACCAAAGAATTGGGTGATGCAGTACTCAAGCAAGCCCTCAGTGGAACCTGTTGGCCAACCATATACAGGTGGTTAAAACTTCCTGTAGTAGGTATGAAGACATGCCCCTTCAGACACTTATGGCCTGATCAGTGACCTCTGTGGCAAATTTTTGTCTTCATTGTCTTATCAATCTTGGAAAGTGTTAAGATGCTTATATACTTATCAGTACAGTTTGGAAGAAAAAATACATGAAAAAATAATGTGGTTACATAATGAAAATTTAAATAAGCAAGAAAAGACTTATGGCCATTAAAAAAAAGTTAGAAGGTACATAATAGGGGCCATTTAAGACTTTAGTAAAGGCAGACAGGTCCTCATAACAAAACTTGTAATTTTGAAATATTTTGCTTTCTAAGACTTCCAGCAGTTATACACATTACCCAGATATGAAATCAAAGACTACCGTGGCACTTTTTTTCAGTTATGGTCAACCTTGGGATAATCTAGAAAATGAATAATCAACAAGGGGAACTAGAGTAGCTATTTGTTTTCTGTAGAAAAATAATTGTATGACACTTGGCTTTTTCCCCAGTGCTTCGACAATGTCAAATTGTTGAAAAATACTTGTAATGCTATTACACCTCAGTATCGCTGACTAAAATCAAGTTCAAACAAAGGCCGCTTCTAATATAACAGGGTGGCTATTAAAAATGTCTAACTGTGGTTACAGAATTCAAAGTGAAATTAGCCTTTTTAAACTAAGCTTTTTGTGTTTCACAGATGAATCAGCAAATGGCTGGCATGAGTATCAGTAGTGCAAACCCTACAGTGGGTTTTGGCCAGCCCCCCAACACAACAGCAGGATGGTCTGGAAGCGCATCGGGTCAGACTCTCAGCACACAACTGTGGAAATGAAAACTGCAATACAAGTTTCATCCAGAACTACCACCTGACATTCCTTGCTAAAACGCATCTGAGTTCCCCTGTTTATTCATGTACATATATATTTTTTTTTCCCCATTTGTTCATATTAAGAATTATCTGATTGACCGTGTTGGTCTATACTGATTAAATTTGATGTGAAAAGCAGGTTGAGAAACCATTTTATGTCAAGGGCAGCTTTGCTCATATTTCCCATGATTTCATTGAGAAGCTGCTCAGTCAACTTGCTTAATCAGTTTTACTCAATAAAATTATAGCTCTAATGTTTGCATATATAAGGGAAGTAGTTATCATGTTAGTAATACCTCTAACAGTGTAAACCCCACCCCCAAATTAGCCGGTAATCCTGTAGGAAGATACTGTATGATCAGATGTTTAATCATATAAATAGGATGTAAATGTATCACCGAAGACTGTTTTCTAGTGTATCAGAATTCTTTTATTTCATCATTCACTCTTACTGTGCTGTTATGATGTGCTTAACAGGGAATGTGGTTAGTGAAAGGAAGATAAACCTGGATGCTACTACAAAACTTAACAAATGTTTAAAGAATGCAAATTTTATCTGCCTCTCATGTAATTTGGATCTTCCTATGTACATAGTGCTAACATGAAGACCTTCCTCTGCACTATATGCAAACAGGGTAACTAAACAAAGCCACTTTCAATTCTTAAAGGTATATCCGGGTTTATGACAGTAATTGTGTTTACATTTTATGGTGCCTAGTATTGACAAAATGTTATATCCCTATATTAAACAGATGAATCCATAGATTTTTTTTTTTGTGGGTTTTATTTCCTGCAATGTATAGTGCCACCAGCTTTCCAAAAAGTAATATTGCTAAGTAGAAACAGAACATTTAGTTGACGAAATACCGGTCATCTGTTCTAAAGCCTGTTCTGTTCTACCAACTATAAGGCCAAATTGGGGGGGGAGGGGAGGGTGGAGTATTTTAGGTATTCAAAATGGTACCTGCGAGTGTCATTTAGCAGTACTGTACAGAGATCTTCCAGCTTAGTTTTAGGGGAAATGTGCAGAACAAATGAAGACAAAAACATTTTATACCATCTGCTTAGCTTTTGTTAACTGCAAGCTCTGGTTAAACAGGTGTCCGTCAGATGACAATAAAGGCTGTTGTACTGAAGTAAAGTGAACAATACCTGAGTGCTCGGCAGCCTACCCTCCACACATCCTCTTCCTCACCCGCTGGCCAACCGGCACCAGTTGCTGCTTTAACTTAGACCTCAATTCTCACTGTGTCCAAGTGGTACTTTGGCTCATTGGCTAGATTAACCTTCTCCGTCCGCGTGTGCCACACGAGAACCTAAAGGGGAGGGAGACCTGTTGGGTAGTCGCGTAGCCACACTTACTGCTCGCACGTAACAAGGTCACGCAGCACAAGTGAAATGAATACCTTGGTGCAGTTATTTGCCTTCGGTTCCAGTTCTTCAACTGTTGTTATCTGTTTTAGAAAATCAGATTCTTGCATCCCTGGCTGGGATCCACGACGCTTAAATACAGCTTTTGGATTGGACAAGATGACTTGAAGACTTACAGCAAATCCTTTGTGAAAAGTTAAAAGAAAGACTTTAAAATACTGGTGTATTATTTACCTTTTTTTCCTATTTCATTTTGATCCCATGGCAATTTTTAAAATAACTACAATGTGTCAGGTCTTGGTACGCAAAGTTGAATAGAAGTATTACCTGTATCACAGTCTCAACAGAAGCAAATAGTGCAATATAGTACATTCAGTGATCGAGCTGCATGCCTGGGGGAGGGGCACATCTATAAAATACAAAATCTGTTGATAATAAAGGGTGACTCTTACAAGCTGCTGTTTCATCATTACCATCACCCCCACATGAGATACTCTGAGAACAGCTAAGAACTCAATGTAGCTGAAAAGCACAGAGACTTAACCCCAACCATCCCTGTGGGAATAGGAATGAGCCCCCCTACTTCTCAAGCTTGTCCTTTACCCGCCTTACGTAGGCTTCATCAGAACCAGTGTGGCTCTGATTTACTTTGAGTTTAGAAGAGTGGGAGAGAAGTGTCAACTTTCTTCGATTGTTTTGTCATGAAAAATCATTACTATTTTATTTGTAGATAAACTTGTTAAGGCTCGGCCATTAAACACTCTACAGCCAGGTACCCCCCCAGAGTTAAAATGGTTTCCATACATTGGGAAAGAAGCATACAAGAAAGAGGTCCCTGAGAAAAGAAACACACGAGGCTTACAATTGCTCCAGCTTCCTGTTCTCAGTGAGTGGCAGGCTACAAAAGAGATACTAACATGGCCCTGCAGTCTCCTTGACCTGAGGAAAAAGAACTGAGAAATCGGGTGGGTTAAGAGAGCCAGACAGGAACTAAAGAGGAAAGAGTTCTGGTGATGGGTGAAAGTCCAAATGAGTAGGATCAGTGAATGCTGTGGAACTACCTGAGGCAAAGAAAACAACCACTGGAAAGAAGCAGGTGGATCAATTATTGGAACTCAGAGCTGGGAACAATTGACATTCCCAAGAGCCAGAGCAGAACTGGTAACAGTTGGGGGGGAGGGGAGAGAGAGAGAGAGAGATTACCAGATGTACAAAGAAACAGGAAAATACAACCATAATGAAAAGAAATATCAGTCAACAGAAACAAACCCAGAAACAACAAAATTACACAACCAAGCAAGGACATTAAAATACATCATTAATAACTTCATATTTTCAAAAATATCTGACAAAGTTGAGCATTCTTACAAGGGATATGGAAAATATATGTATATAAACGCCAAATGATCTCATGAGTAAAAGTATGTCTGAGATGAAAATCTAGATAGGATTAAAAGATGGTTGGACATTGCAATTTAAAGACATAATAGAAACTACCAAAATAAACCACAACAGACAGGAGTCACACAAACATAATGAAAGATGGGGGCTGGGGAGGGGGTGTCAGAAAATAAATATCAGTGTGTGGAATAACTGAAAATTTTCCCAAATCTGAAAAATCAGTGAGGATCTAGGAAATTTAAAAAACACAGTCAACCAACTTGGCCTTACCAATATTTATAGAAAGCTCTACCCAGCAATAGCAAAGTGTGCATGGAACATCAATTATCAAGATAAACCAATTATCTAGGCCATACACCAAGCCTCAATAAATTTAAAAGAAATCAAATTATACAAAGTATTTCCATGATAGAATTAAAATAGAAATCAATAAATCTCTAAAGTCCAATATTTAGAAACTAAATATAATTCTAAACAAAATGTAGATCAAAAGTCAAAAGGGAAATGAAAAAATTATCAGTTTTTGATGGAAAAAATCAAAATTTGTGGTATGCATCCCAAGCAGTAGATTGAAAATTAATTTAAAAGCAAAAACACTAAGCACTTTTATTAGACAAGAAAGATCTCGATTCAATAACCTAAGCTCCCACCTTTATACACTGATAAAAGTGTTAAATGAAATCCAAAGTAGATAGGAAAAAAGTTTCAATAGTATGTAAGAACTCAAAATTGCTGAAATAGAAATAAGAAACTATAGGGAAGAATGTGAAAACAAAACCTTATTTCTAAAAAAAAAAAAAAAAAAAAAAAAGCTCTTGATAAATATCTACCCATATTTATAAGGAAAAAAGACAAAAGTACCACTCCCCAGGGAGAGAAGCATCTGCACAAATTCCAAAAATGTTTAGCTGATAATAAAGCTGATATAAAGTAAATTTTATAACTTGGCTAAAAATGGACAAATTCCTTGAAGGAACTGTCAAAGCTCATACAGATAAATCTGAATATCCTTTCAGCAACTAAAAACATTGACATTACAGTTAAAATTCTTCCCAACAACAAAAAACAAAACCAAGAAAAGCACTCCAAGTCCAGATAGTTTCACTGATGATTTTCTATGGACATTCAAGAATTATTAGAACTTCCCCCAGAAAACAAAATGAGAGATCACTTCACATTCTATGAGGCCGGCCGGCCTCACCCTAAAACCAAAACTGAACAGAAACACTTAGAAAACTACAAACTAATAACCTTTGTAAACACAGAAAAATTCTTAGTTTTAGCAAACTGAATTCAACATTACGAGAATAGATCATGACCAAGTGAGACTGATCGTAAGACTGGAATGTTTAACATTTCACAATCAGCGGCCTCCCTGGTGGCACAGGGGTTCAAGACACAGCGCTGTGAAGCTATCAGGCCAGACACTGTGGCCCGAGTTCCATCCCAGCCAGGGAGGTGACCCACATGGCGCAGCAGACCTCCCGGCGATGTGTTTCAATAGATCTGCCTGTTCTGCTCCCCATTCTGTCTCTGGTGAATCCTCTCACACCACCCCCCCCACACACACACCTCTGGCCTACACCTACCCCAGCTCTTATATGCATAAATAAATCTTTAAAAAAATTTCAAATCAATTTTATTCACCATATTAAGAGAAATTTTACAAAGGGAAAAAACACATCTGATCACCTCGATAGAGGAAATCCACCTCACAAAACCCAACATCTACCCATGATTGGGGGAAGGAAAAAAGCCTCAGCCCAGCAGCAAGTGAACGTCCTCCATGTGCTGACAGGGCATCTACAGAAACCCCCTGCCGCTTTCTACTCAGGGGCGCCTGGTGTCACTCCCCCAAGACTGCAGTAAGGCAAGGGTGTCTGCTTTCAGTTTCCCCTCTATTTATCCTAGTCACTGCAATCAGGGAGGAGGAGGGAGAAAGGGGTGAAGATGAGCGGACAAGTAGGAAAGGCAGGCCCCAGCTCTTCCCTCCAGCAGCGCCCGCCCGGCAGACGTCAGCTCCTCTTCCGGGGCCCCTCAGCCTCCCCCCAGGGACTTGCCCCACAGAGGTTTCTGCCTTCGCCAACTACAAGAGATCTCACTTCAGCAGGGCTGAGACAAATCAAAACCACTTCTAGTTCCTAAAGGACATTTTTGGGGGCAGCAACACTTTTATAACCTCGTCACAAGAAAGATATGAGTTTTTTCTTTGATAAACGGTCACTCTGACTAGTCGTACCAAAATATTGGGCTCTTGATACACTTCTGTTGCCAGTAGGCATCAGGCTGCCAATAGGTATCGGGTAATTCCAAAAATCTCTACTCACTTTAAACAATAAGAAAAAGATATTTCAAATTCTCAATTAAAGTATACGCAGAGTAGTCTCAGGGAGCTTGTTAAAGAAAAATTGTCTCCAACCTTTGAAATGGCTGGAATCGCCTCTTTCATTCCTGCAAAGTACACACTGCCTTTTGGGGGGGTGGGGGGGAGTAGAGAGAATGAGAGAGAGAGGGAGGGAGGGAGGGAGAGAGATTCAATCTCCCATACCACCTTTTATTGATAAATATATTTCATATTTCATATATTTCATATTCACCTGCACCCTGAATTCACTTACTGCACTAACAGTTGTGTGTGTGAGCATGTCCCTGCTGGTTTTCCATGTAAAAGATCACGTCATTCATCATGGAGATAGTTTTACTTCTTCTTTCCAGCCTGAATGCCTTTAATGCCTTTTTTGTGTCTAATGGCCATGGCTGCAGCATACAGCTAAATGGTGAATACAAGTGTCGGGAGGGGTTGTCTTGGTCTTGGTCTTAGGGGGGAAAGCTCTCAGATTTCAACTACTGAGTGTGGTATTGCCAGTGCATTTCGCCCTTTGTCAAGCAGAGCTAGCTTCTTCCCATTCTCATTCACTGATCTTCTGTTCAGTGTTTTTATCATGAAAAAAATGAATTTTCTCAGGTGCTTTTTCTGCATTTATTAGTCATGTTACTTTTGTCCTTTTTTCTATTGACACAGTGTATTGCATTTATTCACTTTCGTTAAGGAACTAACTTTGCACTCCAGGGATAATCCTACCAGGTCATGGTGGATAATCCTTTTTATATATTGCTAGATTACTAGAATTTTGTTTATTATTTATAGGTATCATAGGTCTCGTTGGTTTGCAGTGTTTTGCTAGTTGCCATTCTAGTTGATCTTCTAATTTTTCAAGTGGGATTTTTATGTTTGCAACTATTATTGTTGAACTGTATTTCTCCCTTCTGTTCTGCATTTTTGCTTTATGTACTTTGGAGTTCTGTTTTAAGGTACATATAAGCTTTTGTTATATCTTCTTCATGGATTAATGCTTTCATTATAAAATAATATAATTTTTGTTTCTAGTAACAATTTTTGTTCATACAGTATATATTCTGTATGATATACAGAATATAGTTATTCCAGCTTATTTTTTTGGTTCTAGGTTGCATGGTATGTTTTTCCATTCAACCTACTTGTGTCTTTGATTATGAAATGTTTGCCTTGTAGACAGAATATAGTTGGATCATATTTTTTTAATCTACTCTGCCTTTTTGATTAGATATCTTAATCCATTTCCATTTAACATAAATACTCAAATTAAAATTTACATCTGTCATTTTGCAATTGTTCTCTACGTCTAATATCTTATTCTTGTTTCTCTATTACCATCTTCTTTTGCATTAAACATTATCTCCTACTGTTTGATTTTGTAATTTCTTTTACAATATTAAAAATTATTTTCTTAGTGTTTGCCTTAG